TCAATGCTACATATCAGTGCCCATCTGAGTTGCCTTTCAATGCTGCCTGTCAATGCCCATCAGTGCCATCTGCCAGTGCCCATCAGTGCAGCCTCATTAGCGCACATCAGTGAAGGAGAAAAATTACTTATTTAAAAAATTTTATAACAGAAACTAAGAGAATTTTTTCTTTTTTTTTTCAAACTGTTCAATTTTTGGATTTTTTTTAGTAAAGAATAAAAAACCCAGAGGTGATTAAATACCACCAAAATAAAGCTCTATCTGTCTAAAAAAAAATTATAAAAATTTCATACGGGTACAGTGTTGCATTACCGCGCAATTGTCATTCAAAGTGCGACAGCACTGAAAGCTGAAAATCGGCCTGGGCAGGAAGGGGGTACAAGTGCCCCGTAGGCAAGTGGTTAAATAATCCATTTGGATTCAATTCTTGTCTTTTATTTAAAAAATAAAAAAAAATTCCCCCTTGCCAGTCTGGGGGCAGTTGCTGTTTGAGCATTACTATAGTGCTGGGATGATATGCTGCAGACAAAGCTGTTTTATCAGGAAGAACGTGATCGGCCAAAATTTCCTGACTGCTGTTCTCATAGATGAGCCTTGACACAGTGTCTGAATGTTTCCTGCACACATGATCGGATCATTGCATCATCAAGATGTTTTCGTTTTGTTTGGGGGACTTGCATGTTGTTTCTGTTGGTTCATTTACAGAAGGTTAGTTGCTGTATCTCTGGAGAAAGTAGTAGAGCCTTGTTTTTAGTCAGCAGTGAGATAAGAGGATCTAAAAGGACTGACCCCACTATATAGAGAATGAGTTCTACACCGATCTGGCATGTCATCTTAAAATACCTTCTCTAAAGCAGGCCATAGATTATGCAATTTTGAAAATCCCTCCTGTGGCGCTATTTTTACTGCTGGCGGGGAGCCCAGGGAACCCTCCCTGACAGCAGAACCCAATAAGTGTTGCCAGTAGCACTGATCGTTCAGAAAAAGCCCAACAAGCTGGTTGTACATAAAATGATCGCTAGGTCAACGTATTTACAGCCAGGGTGCTTATACATGGATTGAAATTTGGCCAGTCCCTGCTGAACCAGGCCATACATTATGTAATTTTCTTTTTAACACTGACTGTGTTGATGGGGGAATCTCTCCCAGACTGCTGTGGTTTTCTGCCAGCAGGGAACCTTTCCCACCAGCAGAATACAATGATCGCAAGAAAAAAACCTGACAAGCTGGTTTTACTGAAGTTGATTGACTTCCCATAGATGGATTGAAATTCAGCTGATTATCACTGAACCGTACAAATTCCAGTCAGTCTACGGCTGGCGTTATTTGATCCCTTTTGGTTTGCCTGGCCATAGATGGCTTTTTTTTTTATCATTCAACCCATAGGTTTAACAAAAAAAAAACACTCCTCCATCCACACATTCGATGTGGATCGAGGAATCCTACCTGCTGTCTTTGTTTTCTTGACAACTGAGAAAATCCAACAGTGTGGTTGTACTGATGTCTATCAATATATTAACCTCCCTGGAGTGTAGCTCGGGGTGAAGTTTCAGCACCAGAAGCGGTAATCCCGAGCTACACTCGGGAATACCTTGCAGTGTTGCTCCGGGATCTCTTCTGCACTTACCTTGTCCTGCACTCCCGCGATGTCCCCCCTGCAGCATTCCCGGCCATCTCCTCCGTCCAATGCCGGCATCTGTCTTCCGGGTTTCAGTCCCTGCGAGCATTGGGACGTAACCGCGGGAAATTTAAAAATGTCAAAACGTGACATTCACAAAATACACTACAATCACATAGTAAAACATTACTGTATCAAACCATTTCACATACATTGTGTCCCTAGTGCTTTGTCCTGTGCCCTGCCTGCATTTTTACTGTTCTTTCTGCCTGGAAACTGAGAAATGTCCATGGCATCCAAAAAGCGTCCCTTTATGTCAAAAGCGGTTTTAGACCAGCTAGAGAACAGCGATAGTAAATCAGAACCACTTGCAGAATTGAGTGATAATGATTTGTGGGGAAATTCGTCATCAGACACTGAAAACGATTTTGTGACTTTGCTCAGCGATGTGCGAACTTGGCGCTGTATTTCAAATTTCAGTGTTTTTGGTTTGATTACATTATTGAAGTAAATTTATTATATTTTTTTATGATTATTAAATTATTTATGATTTTGTGTTTCAAATTTTATCATACCCGGAATATTTACTAGACTCTTGTTCGGACAGATTTCAGTGAGTTATTCCTAAAAAAAAAAAAAAAGTCTACAATAAAAAAACGACATATTTCCATGCAAAAAAATGTACCGCTTTGAGCACAGAAATATGGACATAATAAGACCGCTAGGGAGGTTAACTTCTTTACAACCGCCCTGCCCATACATGAATTGAAATTCAGCTGGTCTGTGCCTTAGCCGTCCAAATTTCAATCCATGTATGGCTGAATTTTGTTTAAAGTGATTCTAAAGGCATGACACTTTTTTTTTTTTTTTTTTTTTTTTTTTACCTTAATGCATTCTATGCATAAACAGTAACTTTACTTTTGTTGATAAAAAAACATTCTGGGTGATCTATGTACATTGCAGAGATTTTAACAAACGTTGTAGATTCCTACCTTTTGTTGTTCTAAAGAAATTGTACATGGACACAAACAGCTGTTTCTTCCCTGCTCCATCCCCTAACCTCCTATATAGCAAATATTGTAATCTTGGCTGAGATTGAGTATGCAGCTTCAGCTCTCCTGTCAGAATGCAGAAAGGGCAGACAGTGGGGTAGATTTACTAAAACTGGAGCACTCAGAATCTGGTGCAGCTGTGCATGGTAGCCAATCAGCTTCTAACTTCTGCTTGTTTAAGCTTTGGCAATAAAACCTGGAAACTGATTGGTTTCTGTGCAGAATTGCACCAGATTTTGTGCTCTCCAGTTTTAGTAAATAACCCCCATTGTGTCTGTGTGATCGACTGTCCTCTTCTGTTTTCAGCAGGTTAATTGAAATAGACATCTGATCATCACAGGCCTGATCAGTTTTGTAATACTTTTGACTGAACTGATGTTTGCAGTTGGGGAGTCATAGACTTGATTGGATCTATGGTTGTGTAGATTTGGTTTCCAACACTGTTTGAATGGATTTCTAATTGATTTCTTTTGAGTGTTAAAATGTATTTTCCAAAATAGTGTTTATGTATTAAAAGCACCCTGTCCGTTCAGTGCGATTTGCAAGCTCACTATGTTCAAGCAGCGCTGTAACTTTTATCCTGGAAACACCTCCACTTGCTGCTTTTGCTATTACAGAATGTGTTAATTTCTTGACTACAGTACTGATGGACATGGCAGGGAGGGAAGGTAACTGCCAAAGCAATTTTAGAGCTGTAGATTTCAACACCAGAGCTTTAGGCTGGCCATACATTATACAATTTTCTTGAGAATTTTTCCTTAGATTTACCACAAATCATATAAAATGAGGTCAAACCTAAACAACACTTACAATTGTATCTAATTAGGCAGGCCCTTGCAGTACGTACTTGAAAGTAAATCTAAAGGAAATTGGACAAAAAAATTCTAAGAAAATTGTATAGTGTATGGCCAGCCTTAGAGGTAGTATTATATTCTTTGGAAATTTCTGCGAGGGGAACAGATTGGCTCCAGCTGCTAAGGGAAGGATCATTGTTAACTATAATTTGTTTCTGTTAAAAAAAAAAACCAAAAGGGTCGGGTTCCAGCACACGGTTTAAAAATAAGTATTACATCCTGCCAACTGAGTCTTTTTTTTTTTTTTTTTTTTTATTATTATTATTATTATTATTATTATTAAAAAAGTGTAAACTTTTAAGCCTTGTGCTTATGAAGAGATATTGACTCCTTAATTGCATATGGTAGGTTCTGTGGCTCCTAATATTGTCAGATTGTTCAAGGCAGAAAACAATTAATTTGTCAATATAATTTTTTTTTTTTTTTTTTGTTGTATGGTAAAAAGAAACATTATTTTCATTTATTTAATGTAATTATTAGGAACAATATATCAAACGCTTACTGTTGTCTTAGGTATATCTTAACCCAGGCTCAACAAATCCCAGACGGCAGATCGCCATGGTGACTAGAAATTGTGTCCTGGCGCCTGGGCTTTTGTCAGCTGTCTGCACCCGCCAACCTCGCTATTGCTAAAAGTCCGCTACAGGGGAAAGATCGCCCCTGGGACGTGCATCGACACGCCCTGTGATCCTTCATGCACAGCTGATCACAGATTGAGGTAAAGGGCCAATCACAGTGACCCTTTACCATGTGATTAATTGTTTGCAATCACAGCTAATCATATGTAAACAAATACCAGTTATCGGCATTTCCTTTCCTCATTGCTGTCACAGCGTGAGGAAAGGAAAGGCGATAACCAGCTATCCTGTTGCAGGGGACATTTACACTGATAATCAGTGCAGCCTCGTCGCCACACATCAGTGAAGAGGAAAAATGTATTGTTTGCTAAATTTTATAACAAATGAAGAAAAATGTGTTTGGTTTCTTCTTTTCCCCAAAACATTTTTGGTCTTTTATCATTTAGCAAAAAATAAAAAACCCAGTGGTGATTAAATGCCACCAAAAGAAAGCTCTTTGTGTGTGAAAATGATAAAGAATTCATATGGGTACAGTGTTGCATGACCGCGCAATTGTCAATCAAACAGCAGGAAGGGGGTGAAAATGCCCAGGGATGGTAAAAAAAAAACATTGGCGCCTAACTTTTTAGCTGGCTCCTAGATTCAAAGTAAATTTGACAAGCTCTGACTTAAGTCACAACAGTACTGGCAACTTTCTGTGCTGTAAGAGGACAAGAGAAATCTACTAATATAGGATAGAAAGCTCCGTTCTGTGTTATTGCTTTATGTATGTGTGTGCAAATGTGACTACGTATTTCTTCTTGGTAACTCTTACTCTGAATAAATTATTTAACATGGTAACTTAGTCATTGTAGGAAGTACGCTTAATATATTACATAAAATATTGTCTTCTTTGCAGGCTGCCGCAGGTATCTTGTGCTATGTTGGAGCCTATGTCTTCATTACATATGACGATTATGAGCACTTTTTTGAAGACATTTACACCTTGATTCCAGGTGTAATAATTATTGCAGCGGGTGCTCTGCTCTTCATCATTGGCTTAATTGGGTGTTGTGCCACAATCCGGGAAAGTCGCTGTGGTCTTGCAACGGTAAGAATGTATGAACATCTTTCACCATAAATATGGTTGAGCCCCCAATTCACCTATTTCCATTCTGAGCAAAGCTTCTTTGTAACTAATGCTGGCCATTTCCAAGCTGGGCTTCTTCTCTAGTGTAGGAAAGAGCTGACTCTTTTGTATATAATCTATTAAGTAGCATATGTGGCCCTGTGGTCCTTCAGTTAAAGGAAGCTTTTTTTTTTTTTTTTTTTTTTTTATGCCGTTTTTAAGTGAGGGGTGCGGTGCGTTGGGCAGCATTTATTGCATTTTTTGACCCGATTTCCCCCATCTACACTTCAATCTGGATGGGGGAATTCTTCCACTATGCTATTGTATTCCACCCCCCATAAGGAGCAGAATACAGTGATCTCTGTCGCCAGCTATGGCTGACTGCACTGCTTGTTTGAGCAAAACCCAAGAGACACAAGTTGTTTTTGTTAGCTTTGTTTAAGCGTGCAGTTTTTTTTTTTTTTTTTTTGTATTTATGAGCTTCCATTAAAGTCAAACTGCATTTGCATCTAGAAGATGGATAGGTGTGAATATGAACTAGTTTTAAAAAATCTGTATGTTTATGTTCACTTAAATTCCTCACCATGTTTTGTTTTTAAGTAAAAATATGAGACTTGTGTTAGCCTTTGTCTTGTAAGAATGCAGTTTGGTAAAAAGAATGAGCTTAACACATTTTTTTCATGTTTAGACAGATGTTTGGCTTGTACATATTACAGCTTTCTCAACTCCTCACATTACTCTTATATGAAAATTGAATTTCTGCTCACATTTGTTTCATACCTTTGGTCCCCCTTATCTGTTACTGTAAACCTGTGAGGACTAAACATTCTGTGAATATTTCAGAACTGTTACATTATTATTGCTAATGTGTAACTTCTTTTTCCAGTTTGTAATTATCTTATTATTGGTGTTTATCACTGAAGTTGTGGTAGTGGTCCTTGGATACATCTACAGAGCCAAGGTAACTTGATAAGGGCTAGATCTTGTATAAATCTGAATTGCTTATTGTATGTATGCTTGATATCTCAGGTCTGTTTTACACCTGTGATATTGTTTGTAGAATGTAATGATTCTTTTATTCTATTTCCTGCCATGACATTTGCTTTAAGTCATGCTAACTTGCACTTTCCTTTGGTAAATATAATATGTGACCAGATAAACAGCTCTTTAACAGAACATAATTTATATTCACAGGTTGAAGATGAAGTTGATAAAAGCATTACAAATGTATTCAACCAGTACAATGGTGTTTCCCCCTGACTCAGCAAGCCGGGCTATTGATTATGTCCAGAAGCAGGTGAGAACTTGGCTTAGAGCTGTTCAATATGTATGTATTTTGAAGGTGAAACTATGAGAGATATATGCTGCAGAAAGCAAGATGTTCTGCTAAACTATGGGGAGATCAGTGTGCATTAAAGTATAACTAAAGGTAAAACTTTTTTTTTTTGTCCCCACAAAAGTAATAGAGGGGAAATGTTCCAATAGAGACAATAGTTCTGGTGACCTGGGGGTCCCACTTCCTATTGTGGCTATGGGACAGGAGGTAAAGGTAAATCTCCCCAATGGGACACATATGGTGAAAAAAAACTAACGGGTTATAATCCTCCCTTACTCTGTTCAAAATACAAAAAAGTTTTGCCTATAGTTCCATTTTTTAAATTGAAGTGAAAACGTGTTCTTATTAATATTACCTAAATGGAATGGCTAAAAAGAATTTCATTATCTATAATGAGGGAATTCTACATTTCTTGGTGGTTGGCGGCAATGAATTGGTCACAGGGTCTCTTGCCGTGAAGGATCACTGTACAGCCCTGACCAAAAGTTTTGAGAATGACATAAATATTAATTTTTCACAAAGTCTGCTTCTTCAGATGTTATGGCGATTTGCATATACTCTAGAATGTTATGAAGAGAGATCAGATGAATTGCAATTAATTGCAAAATCCCTCTTTGCCATGAAAATGAACTTAATAACCCCCAAAAAAAATTTCCACTGCATTTCAGCCCTGCCACAAAAGGACCAGCTGACATGTCGGTGATTCTTTCCTTAACACAGATGGCACTGTTGACAAAGACAAGGCTAGGGATCAAACAGTCATGCTGATTGAGTTAGAATAACAGACTGAAAGCTTTAAAAGGAGGGTGGTGCTTGAAATCGGCGTTCTTCCTTTGTTAACCATGGTTACCTGCAAGGAAACGTGCAGTTGTCATTGTTTTGCACAAAAAGGTATTAACAGACAACGATATTGCTTCTACTAAGATTGCACCTAAATAAACCATTTATCGGATCATCAAGAACTTCAAGGAGAGAGGTTCAATTGTTGTGAAGAAGGTTTCAAGGTGCCGAGGAATGTCCAGCAAGCTGTCTCCTAAAGTAGATTCAGCTGCTGGATCGGGGCACCACCAGTGCAGAGCTTGCTCAGGAATGGCAGCAGGCAGGGGGTGTGAGTGCATCTGCATGCACAGTGAGGTGAAGACTTTTGGAGGATGGCCTGGTGTCAACAAGGGCAGCAAAGAAGCCACTTCTCTCCAGGGAAAACATCAGGGACAGACTGATATTCTGCAAAAGGTACAGGGATTGGACTGCTGAGGACTGGGGTAAAGTAATTTTCTCTGATGTATCCCCTTTCCGATTGTTTAGGGCATCCGGAAAAAACTTTGGAGAAGAAAAGGTTAGCGCTACCATCAGTCCTGTGTCATGCCTATAGTAAAGCATCCTGAGACCAACCATGTGTGGGGTTGTTTCTCAGACAAGAGAGTGGGCTCACAATCTGTCTAAGAACAGAGCCATGAATAAAATGGATAAACATCCTCTAAGAGCAACTTGTCCCAACAATCCAAGAACAGTTTGGTGACTAACAATGTCTTTTTCCAGCATGATGGAGCACCTTGCCATAAGGCAAAAGTGACAACGAAGTGGCTTGGGGAACAAAACATCAAAATTTTGGGTCCATAGCCAGGAAGCTCCCCAGTTCTTAATCCCATTGAGAAATTTGTCAATTCTCAAAAGGCGAGTGAACAAAAATAACCCCACAAAGTATCAATTATGCAAGAATCGGCTGCCATCAGTCAGGCTGTGGCCCAGAAGTTGACTGACAGCATGCCAGGGTGAATTGCAGAGGTCCTGAAAAAGAAGGGTAAACACTGGAGATATTGACTCTTTGTATAAACTTAAAGTAATTGTCAAAAGCCATTGACACTTATGAAATGTTTGTAATTACACTTCAGTATACCATAGTAATATCTGACAAAAATCTGAAAACACTGCAGCAGCAGACTTTGTGAAAATTAATATTTGTGTCATTCTCAAAACTTCTGGCCAGGGCTGTACTGTCAGATCCACTGTCTGCTTGGTTCTGCCTAAATTTTAGTCTATCAAATGCTGTGGCATAGACCTCTTGTAAAGCACCAGAGGGTAAACCTTCCTTTTAGTACACCAAGGAATAAACGTTTGTGTTTTCAAGGTGCAGTAGGTATAAAATCTGCTTTTATACCAGCTGAATATAGACTTCAGCTAACAAGGTTAGGGTAATGAGAAAGCAGTACCAGATGTTCCAAGTACCTAATACCCTTGGTAGAATAGGGAATGTCCATTTCACGGTTAGTCGTGTTCACATTGAACAGGTTGGATGAAGTTTGTATCAGTTCAGCGATGTGAAGGTGGGCAGATGCTTCAACCATCTAAATTTTTTCTTTTTTTTTTTTTTTTTTTTTTTTTTCGGGGAGATGTTAGCTTCTATGGTCAGCCTGAATCTAACCATACAAAGGCTCATGTCCAAGACTATTCCAATTGAACAACTGGCTGCAGATATTTTCACCTTGCCACCAATGCAGTGCTCAGTTTATGTTGCTTTGCATATCCTGCACTGCTTGGTTAACCCCTTAATGATTCCTCAAATAACAATCACATATTAAGTGATGCTTGTAGGGATACTTTTCTCCAAAAGTCAATGCATTGTCACAGAAATGTAAAAGGCCCAGCAAGGCTTTAGGTCCAGTTATGTTCCTAGTGTCTTTTTGGTCACATGGCCCTGGTACATATTCAGCCTTTTTAGAAGGTGTAAAAATTACATTTACAGAAAATGTTTTTTTTCCCTACAGCTTCACTGCTGCGGCATCCACAACTACTCGGACTGGGAGAAGACACCTTGGTATATCAACACACATAACAACAGTGTGCCATTAAGTTGCTGCAGAGACAACGTGGTAAACTGTACAGGGAGTCTGACCAGGCCTGGAGATCTGTATTCTGAGGTAAGATAGAGTGCGCTTTGGATGCTGATGTTGCACTATTCTGCTGTATAATTTACAATTTGACATTTTCTAAGATTTGTAGTTTATTTTTTAAGATTAAAAGCCTATATACAACTTATTAAAGTATATGTTAACCCTAAAATTGAATGTCTCTCGTTTTCTCCCTTTTGGTCTGCCAAATGTAACATTAAAAGTACGTTGTTATACCTGTTCCATAAGTACAAAAAAAAATACCTGTTGATTTTGCTAGAAATCTTGTGCGCTGATAACTTCATAAAGAGTTTTCCTCAGAAATGAAGTTGGATTGATAACACGTGCTTTGGCATTTGGAGCTGAAAATACACTGAGGGGAATTTAGTAAGACTTGAGCAGTCAGAATTTGGAGCTCAGCATGGCAGCCAATCAGCTTCCAGCTTTCAATTTTAAAGCTTAAAGTGAATGACCTCCTGAAATTGAAAAATGAACAAAACCCTTCTTTCTATAGTGTGTGTACTTACCCTGATACAAAACACCTACTGTGATTTGTCATCATTCCCTCAGCTAGCTGCATGGTTCACTTCTGACAGCCTGTGCAACACTGGACAATCCTGAGACGTGTACTGACTGCAGGGGCACAGGACACATTGCAATACATGAGGAAATGCTGTTCTAGAAGTCAGGACCTCCTCCTTTAGGCCCTTTTAACCTCTCTGGTGGTCTAACTAATCAATAATTGTAAATGTCAGTCGTACATTGTTTTGCATGGAAATTTGTTGTTTTAGATTGTAGTCCTGTAATTCTTAGGAATAACTCACTTAAATCTGTCCAAACAAGAGTCTAGTAAACCTCCCAGGTTTGATAGTTTGAAACACAAAATCATAAATTATAATATAATAATTATTAAAAATAATATACATTTAATTCAATAATGTAATCAAACCAAAAACACTGACATTTGAAATAGAGCACCAAGTTTGCACATCACTGAGCTCAGTCGCAGAATCGTTTTCAGTGTCTGAGGAATTTCCCCACGAATCATTATCACTCAATTCTGCAAGTGATTCTAATTCACTATCGCTGTTTTCTAGCTGGTCTAAAACAGCTTTTGACCTAAAGGGACGCTTTTTGGATGCCTCGGACATTCTCAAGTTTCCAGGCAGAAAGAACAGTAAAAGTGCAAGCAGGGCACAGGACAAAGCACTAGGGACAAAATTTAGGTGAAATGGTTTGATACAGTAATGTAATCCTAACAGATTACAATGTATTGTGTGTGTCATATTTTTTTTTTTAATCTCCCGCTGGTTCTGCCCCCCCGTGTACCGACGTTTGCAGGGAAGGGAACCCGGAATACGGATGCCGGCATCTGCCGGAGGACATCAGGGGATCGCAGGACAAGCACTACAGTGTAATCCCGAGTGTGGCTCGTGGTTGCTGCTTTTTTGTACTGTAAATTTATACCCGAGCCACACTCTGGATTCCCGCTAATTAGGTTAAATATTCACATCAGTACTCCATGAATAAGGTGACCTAACAGACCTACTGTGGGCCAGCTTGATTAAAAACTGATTCTGCATATAAAATAACTGTATGGATGCTGGGGGCACTGCAGTCTATCGCAGTTGCATTTGCTGCAAAAAGTAAGCGGTGTCCTCTTCCTTTCTTTTGCTGCCAGAAACATAGGAGTCTAGGGCTCCTGTCCCTCCACCACTCAGGAACCGCCTTGTGTTCATGTCAGTGAATACTAGGTAGGCTCTGATTGGCTAAGGTGGAGATCATGACATCATCCATCCCTCTGCTATCTTAATGGAATACCAAGTTTGTTTCCAAAAAAAGTACTATCCAACTCGCACACCGAAACCCCGAAAAGATTTTTGGAGCTGTTTCGGCAGCCACTTCTGTATATATTAAGACCAGTCCAATCATTTGTTTAAAATCTTTTAATGTGAGTGTTTGCCTGTAATTGTAGGAAAAACTGTAGCTCTGAATTGGCAGGTCTGCCACTGACCCCCCTATGCTTTTCACAGATGAGAGCAGGTTCACTCTGAGCACATGTGACAAATGTGAAAGGGTCTGGAGAAGCCATGGAGAACATTATGCTGACTGTAACATTGTTCAGCATGACCGTTTTGGTGGTGGTTCAGTGACGGTCTGGGGAGGCATATCCATGGAGGGACGCACAAACCGCTATAGGCTAGACAATGGCACCCTGAGTGCCGTTGGGTATTGGGATGAAATCCTTGGAACCATTGTCAGACCCTAGGCTTTTGCAATGCCCAGCCTCATGTGACGAGAGTATGCAGGCAGTACCTGGAGGATGACGGAATTGATACCATTGAATGGCCCCCACGCTCGCCTGACATAAATCCAATAAAACAACTCTGGGATATCCTGTTTCTTTGCACCTCAGGCTGTCCAGGAAGCTCAGTGATGCCCTCGTCCAAATCTGGGGGGAAATACCCCAGGACACCGTCTGTCATCTCATTAGGAGCATGCCTCTACTTCAGGCATGCATACAAGGTTGTGGGAGCCATAAAAACGGAGTTGCTGCAATGAAATTTCAGGAAAATGAATTAGCTTGCTGCAGCATTTTTTTTCACTTTGATTTTCTGTGTGTCTTTGAATTCAGTCCTCTGGGTTGATAATTTTCATTTCCATCAAACAATGGGGCATTCTTGCGTTTCTAACACATTACCCGGTCCATATCAGTATAGCTATCCAGCATGATATTTTTCCCCATTGATATCTGATGTGTTCTCAAAGTGTTCCTTTAATTTTTTTTGAGCAGTGTATGTATGTATGTATATGTATAATAAATATATATATTATAACTTTCTTTTTATAATCGCATTCTTGTGTTTTCTTGTTTCAGGGTTGTGAAGCTTTAGTTGTGGAGAAACTGCAGGAAATTATGATGTATGTTATATGGGCTGCACTAGCATTTGCTGCGATACAGGTAACTATTACACTACTGTATGTGCATTGGGTGTGTGTGTGTGTATAAATATAATATTCTTGCACTATACTGTTGCAATTAAACAAGTGTGTGTGTGATTTTTCAAGGTACCCCACCCTCAGGTGACATATTTGTACATATTTTGTTTTTTACATGCGTTGCCCTGTATTTTCCGATTAATTGCAAATGCATCTAAAGCTGCATCATGCAAGTTTTTTGTGCAAAAACATCTCTTTGCTGGGAATGGGCCTTATTAGTAATAGTTTTTTAAAAGTACCATGTAGTTTGCCTGCAGTCTGACTGTGCTGTGCCAAATCTCCAAATAGATGGGTTCCTCTACAGTTCTGTTGTTTTTCATGTAATCTGCAAAATCTTTAGTAACACTAAGCCTTTTAGCCGATTCATAAAAGGAATATCTTTAGTAACACTAAGCCTAAGTGAGAGCGAGCAAGTTCACAGTTCGGGAATTTTTCTACCCAAGTCATTGAAAAAACTTCTCACATATTTGGGATTGTTAAGAACCTGTACAACAGCTCTGGCTGTTTTTACTTCTTCCTTATAGTAATAAAGAACCATTGCTTTAGTTCTCGTAAACCTAGCTTGTGAACAGTTCAACAGATGACAATGGCATTGGAGAATTTTGTAAACATTTATAACCGTGGAAAAGGTTTCTCAAACTTGCTGAAAGCTGCGGGGTAATTTTCCACAACATATTTCTTGTTCAGTAATTCAACAAGAGGTTACAGAAATACAGGGTTAGACAAAATAAATGGAAACTCCTTATGCTCTCACCAGAAGATAAAGTTGATCAGGCCCTTCTATTTATGCATATAAGTCTTCCAAATATCCACTATGACTCCGTGTCTCTCTCACCATGTAAAAAAAATAAATTTAAAAATGGCATATAGTGTGATATCTTTCCAATGATTTGAAATTAAGTCAATCGTGCTCACATGAGTGAGATAATGTGCCACCTCATGCACTACAAGCTCCCTACAATTGGTAAGGTGCATGATCTGACGGGGTGCATAAATTGAAAGGCCTGATCGACTTCATGCTCTGGTGAGAGCATAAGAACATGGCAACCTTTAAATGGATGTTTCCCGGGACTGTGAAATGTAATATAATTTGGGGAGACTAGTTTTGCGCTGGATTGGATATTTACGCTATATAGACTTTGTTTGCTCAAGGGGGTAGTTTTTTTTTTTTTTTTTTTTTTTTTTTTTTTTTTTTCTAGCAGCTCAAAAGAATACATAATACCTCAGGCACTGGTTCATTATTTTGATTTTAAAAAAAATGGAAACACTGCATGATTTTCAGGTGTGAAAGTGACAACATGTTCTCGTTAAAAGCAGAAGTGATCTTTTGTTTCCACTGTGTGATGTGACACCTAGCATGTGGGAAGTCTCATGTCAGAGCTTACTGAGCTTCAGAGAGTGCATATTTTTGGTGTCGCTTAGCTGGTGCCTCTGTGACTGAAGTTGCAAATTTATTTGCCGTGTTGTGAGGTACAGTATCAAAGGTTATGACGGCATGTACAGGTTCTGGGAAAATGTCGCCTGATAAGCTTAAGCATGGTTAACTGACCGAAAGAAACAGACATTGCGCAAGCTTGTGACCCAGAATAGGGAAAACTGCTGCAAAAGTGACTGCAGAGCTCAATCTCAATCCCATGACCGTCTCCAATAGATCCCAGATCTGTCCATAAAGAGGACCTGTCATGGCCCTCACTATCAGCTATGTTGTTCAAAGTTGATTTAAAAAAAAATTAAAGGAAAGTGTAAACTAAAGTTTTAAATATAAAATATGTAGTTTACATGTCCACGTCCCTGTGCTCATACTCAAATGCGAACATAGCAATAGCAGAAATTCTAGCACCAGGGGTGCACTCACTTTTGTTGCCAGCAGTTTAGACATTAATGGCTGTGTGTTGAGTTATTTTGAGAGGACAGAACATTTACACTGTTATACAAGCTGTACACTCACTACGTCACATTGTAGCAAAGTGTCATTTCTTCAGTGTTGTCACATGAAATATATAATAAAAAATATTTACAAAAATGTGAAGGGTGTACTCACTTCTGTGAGATACTGTATGTGAGACGTGTCAGAATTGCCTGGTAGGGAAGTAGTTAAAGCTGATCTCTGGAGCCTCTCTGCAGGAGCTTGTAGTAAGACCAGTTACTGCTGCTTTACCTTCTTGTGCAGGGTGACTGGTCTTGTATCCACCTTCTCTTGCAGTTTTCTGCAGGCAGCTTGTAGTGGGTGGGACTGTTGGGTCCTCCCCCTAGCTTTGCTGTACAGGAATGAGGTCACCACTCCTTTTATACAAGGTAATATCTGGGTCTCAAAGTGGATTTATATTCTTTTGTGGCTATTAAAGAATATATTTAGATCATTTTTGTGCCTGGAGTTAAGCTTTTATAACACCTCCTTTATCCTGCAATTATTGTCCTTGTACTGTTCCTTTTTTTAATAAGGTGATGGCAACTTCCATTTGTGTTGCTGAATTGTCATCCTGTATGAATGCTTGTGTATAGGTTTTAGGTGGGTATGGGGAGAGCAATATTTAATCGACTTAACATTTTATGGGCTTGAGAGTTTCAGCAATAATTTGTTTTTTTTTTATATTGTCTTTGTGTTGTAGCTCCTGGGGATGCTGTGTGCATGTATTGTCCTCTGCAGAAGAACTCGTGATCCTGCCTATGAACTCCTCATCACTGGAGGCACCTATGCATAAAAAGAATTGAATTTGCCCTTTGTGCTTTGGATCCTTCAGCCCTTGTTCCTAAGGAGGCAGCAACAGGATAGGACTCTCCTTATACTGAAGTAGTTTCTACACTGCTTATTCGCAGTTAAGATCTTACAGTGGGTCACTTCTGCCCCTCTGGACTTTTCTCTACCCTCAGCTTGTCACTTTAATAGGTTTTAATTTTTTGTGCTGATTTGTAGGTTTTACCATTAGCGACTGGTGTTTTGCTATAGGGTTATTAGTGAAGTAAAGCAGCATTGTGATTAAATCATTGCTATGAACGCAGTTCCAGCAGGCATCTGAACACAGCTTGGTGAGCAGTGTCTTTTAAAAGCAAGCTGCTGTTTGTGTGGCATCATGACTTTCTCCCTTTAAGTTGTGGAGGTCGTAATATCTAGATACATTTTATTCACATATATCTTTGCTGCTTCTTGAAAACAGCCTTGTGCAGCAAGCTAAACCAGTATTTTTTAAGCTCCTAATGTCATGTTTTTTATCTACTTTTCTGAGGTATGTTTGATTATGATATTTGGAGTATGGGCTCTTGGAAAATAGAGCTCTGTCTACTTGCTACGTAATTTCATCATTCGTGAGTCTCGGGTTGAATAAGAGTCTAAACGCTGGATTAAGGCCTAATCCTTGTAATGCATTCAATGAAAAGATCTCTTGGTTTGCCTTAAAAGACTTGTCTTTTTAAAAGCCCTGGAGGCATCATCATTGGTGGCACCCAAAAGACAACGTATCTAGTTCTGCTAATAAATACAAAGCATGTGCATCTCCACCAACAACTGTCAGCATTAATTATCCTTTTGTGATATGTATTTCTATCTCTTCTCCAAAGGTGTAAAGCATTAGTATGTCTGAATTGTTAATTTATAACGTGTGAAGTAAACCCCCTTTTTGTCATTTTATCTTTTTAACAGTTTGGATTGTGTACAGAAAAGTTTTAAAATGAAACTACTGTTACATTCTCATGGGAGATTAAACCTTGCAGAAGCATCACTGCAAGCTTGGAAAGTGACTTGCCTCAAGCAAACCCTGCAGTATGATACAACACTACTTTCAGGAGGGACATAGTCCGTCTCCACTGACCACACACTTTGTGGGCGGAAATTTGCTTGAAAGAGAATTGAAATGGGAAAAGTTAAAGGACTTTTCCAAACTTAATATTGTACAGTTCATTATGTAGAAGAAATTTTTTTCCTTGATCAGTGTGTAAATTGAACCATTAGTGGCTTAACAGTCCCTCTTGATCAATAACGTCTGCATTTAGAACAACTAATTCTGTGACTGGAACTGACTGTAAATAGTGACTGATTCAATAAAAACTCTACACTCACTATAGTTTTTTGTGCAATTTCTTTTTTAATGTTTTAGGCCCTGTTCACATCACTTAGCGGGAATGCAGGTTTCCATCAGCAATTTAAAAAGGGTAAATCATGCGCAGAAACGAATGTTGTGCATAGGGCAGCCCATTCAAGTGAATGTGTGTTTTGTTGCACTAAAGAACCTCGGGGGTCAAATTTTTGGATTGAGGCAGGTGCAATTTTACTTGTCCGTTTTTGCCACACTTTTCGTGTGTTTTGACCTGCAATTCCAAATCGCCTATATGTGAACGGCGTCTTAAAGTGAATGTAAGACTCTGTGAAATATGAAAAAAATCATATCCCTCTATAGTGTGTACCTGTCTTAATCCAGAGCAGTTAAGCAAGACATAGATGATTCCTGGTTGCAGGAAAGAAAATTGTTTGTTTTTTTGTTTTTTTTTTTTCCCATCAACACAGTCAGTGTTGATAGAGGACTCCCGCCCGCAGTGCCATTGCCATTCATTATTCAGATAGTAAATGTCTGAGTTTTCCAAACTTCCCACTTTCTGTTGAATAACTGCATCCTATCCAGTAACATATAATGAATTCTCTCCATGAGCATCACTGCATCAACTCTCTGCAAACCAAGGGCAATGGCACGTGGGTGACCTCCAATGCAGGGCAATGGCCCACAGGACAGAAACACAGATGGTATGGATTAGCCTCATAGCCCCTGTCTGTATTCCTGAGATGCAGGCTTCTAGTAGGCAAGACTGCATAGACAGATGCACAGGGGCATCTGCCACAGCAGAGGCCACTTCAGAGACTTTGCGCCATACCAACGAAAGGCTTGGGCAAGCCCAAAATATATGCACTAAGGTACCAGCTTGGCCACAACCCCGGAAACAAAGGTGGGATGTCCCTGGAAACATGACTCAGCTTAGAAGGGGTATAATACCAGCGGGTTAGTACTTTGAGGGCCCTCTTCCGAACAGAAAGAGATATAGAGCTCTTATGAATATTTTCCACCATGGAGTCCCAGTCCTCTTCAGAAAAAGTGACACCATTATCCACCTCCCATTTCTGTCTATATAAGGGGGGTGAGGAATAGATAGTTACCGATCTGAGATCCTATCTGTGGCCCAACGAAATGGGAAAGAGCTGCGGAGACATTCGCCCAGGGAACCAGTAACATTAATAGGCATATCAACTGAATTTGGCAAAATTTACAGTGAGGCCTGACATGGATGCAAATTCATTCAATAATGTGCATAAATTTGGCAGTGATATTAATGGGTTAGTAAGGAAAAGCATGACATCATCTGCGTACATACATAATTTAAATTGCGATACCAATGTGTTCTTATAGCAATCACCAAGGGTTCCAAAATTAGCACAAATAGGGTGAAAGTGGACAGCCCTCACGGGTGCCCCTGCCCAGGGTAAAAATCCGAGTTGCAGCCTGGGAGTCGAATTCTTGTTTGGGGGGAGGCATACAAAGCATGTACACCGGACAGAAATTCGTCGTGGAAGCCCATTTTCTGCAACAGTGAGAACATATAGGACCAGAGGACACTATCGAAGGCCTTATTAATGTCCAGGCTTGGTAACACTTTAGAATTTAAGTTGGCATCTTGAATAACATTTCGTGTGAGATGTATATTATCTGTGATAGGTCTATCTGGAATAAAACCCGATTGGTCAGGTGAGACCAAAGAGGAGATAATAGGGGCCAGTCTAGTTGCCAAAATACGACTGAATATTTTAAGATCGTTGTTAATCACTGGGATGGGTCTATAGTTTTGAGGTAGATGATGATCTTTTAGGGGTTTAGGTTGTAGGGACATGTTAGCCAACAGTATCTCCTCCAGGAAGCTTCCCGCCCTGCAAAGTATCATTGAACAATGACAGCAAAAAAGGAGCCAACACGGGGCAAAATGTTTATAATAACTACCCGTGAACCCATCTGGGCCCGGTGCTGTGGAAGTTCGTAGTGCACTAATCGCACAGGTTATTTCCTCCAGGGTACATGGGGCATTAAGGGAGCATATCTGAGAGGGTGTGAGAACAAGGAAGGGCAGAGAATCAAGCCATGAGCCATCTGGAGTAGAGGTCGTTTGTGGGGGAGCTAATAGGGTGGAATAAAATTGTTCAAAATTGCCCAATACTTCATGAGGTAAAGAGGAGATGGTACCATTTTTAGTTCGTAATAAATAAATATATATATATATATAGGGGGCTGTATAGAATGGGTCAGTTTCCGTGCAAACATAGTAGACGCTGAGTTACTATGTAAGAAGAAAGAGGCCTTAGACCATTGTAAAGCTTTTTCAGTTTTCTGGGATAGTAAAGTATTCAGTTCTAGCCACTTTTGCAATATCAACGTTTTGTTAAGGAAAGAAGGATTGCCAACATAAGTTCTATAATGTGTTTCTAATTCCTGGGTAAGCTTCTAAATCTGTTTCCACCGCTCTCTGTTCCTAGATGATGCCATGGATATAAGGTGGCCTCGTAGGACCGCCTTATGGGCCACCCACAGAGTAGCCGGGGAAATATCAGGAGTGGCGTTCAACTGAAAGTATTCTTGGATAGAGGTAACTATGTCCTGACGAGAGTTAACATCTGTAAGCATAGAGTCGTTTAGTCGCCAGGAGTAGGGGTAGGTGCTAGACCTATGAAAGTGATAGAGAATGCCACTATGTTATGATCCGACCAAGTGCATATATGTATGCATGCCTTCCTGGAGTTGGCTAGTAGTATGGGGGAGCAATAGATATAATCCAGCCTAGCGTAAGAGTCATGTGGGTGGGAGTAAAATGAATAATCCCTCGCTCCCACATTATGTGCCCTCCAGGAGTCTACCAGTTGGAATGTTTCTAGTTTTTTAGTGAGGGATTTTGGAAAGGCCAGGGAGGAAGGTGAGGATGAACGTCTGTCTAGAAGGGGGTTAGCTACCAAATAAAGTTCCCTCCCACCAATAAATGGGGGGATAAGAACTTATCAAGAACTGTAAACAAATGTGAAAAAAAGGATGATTGCACCAGAGGTGCATAAACATTGGCTATCGTGAGTGCACGACCTGAAAGGGTGCCTTTTAATAATGATAAATCTGCTTTCAGGCTCACGATTAACATGTTGAACGTCAAAGGGGAACGAGTTGTGCAGAAAAATTGCTACGCCTCTACTTTTAGTAGAATGTAAGGTGTAAAACCCCTGCGAAATTAGTTTCCTGTAATAAAATAATCTTTGCCTCTAGGCGTCTATACTGGAGGAAGGCGTTTTGCGCTTGTTTGGGGAATTGAAACCCTGGACATTATGTGAGATACAATGAACCACCATGGCAAAAAAAAATTAGTATAAGTCAGCATTATTATAACCATCTGAAAAATGTAAAAAAAAGATGGTCTAATCAGTGGAGCATCTAGATCTGCATCATATAAGAAAAAATCTGTCCGTATCATTTTATGAAGCAACCCAGTCCCAAAGTCATGGGCGGGATGTCTACAAAATTGTGTATGACTACCATCATGTACCAAAGTTATCAAAAAAACCAAAACATAAAACAATAGAAGTAGGGCTCTAGAAGCCTCTATAACAAAGGAAATCACAATAAACCATGGATCAGGTAGGCTAGCTGCCTTTCTTGGAAGGGCATAGAAACTTAACATCAAAAGGTCAACC